GGCTCGAGACGCTTATTGATTTGGTGATCAAAGGGTCAAGTTAATTATGCAATAAATTTTGTTGAAAAATTGATTTGTTTTTGAAAAACAAAACACTGTCATAACTTTTATGAGACAGTATTAATAATTTTTCATTCAAATAAAAAGCAACAATCTTGACATAAATCCATAAAATCTAAATTGAAACTGGTTATCTTTGTTTTTAATGATTAATGCATGATTAAACCATGCACGAACAACCTGATTATATGATTATAACATTGTAAGCACTCGGCTTAACAAACAGAGTTGATTTTGTGAATTGTCTGATTGAAATTTTATCCTTTTCCATATTCCTTTTTATATCACCCTCTATGATCTCATAGGCATTCCTATTTATCATCTTATACATGTGTTCCCTTCTTTGTTACTGTCATATTGCTATTTGTGGGTTTAAGTCTAACCATCATTACAGCAATCATGGTAATGCATAAAATTGTGAATGTGATCTAGAAAAGTACACTGGGGATCCACATTATCTTATTAGCTACTGATATCTATCGCTATACTATTCATGGGTGCTTGAAGACAGAAATATCCCCTTCCCCATCCGATATAGACCCCTGGGTCTGTTCGACATATGTTTTTCTAATTCGTTATACATATTGTATATACCGTAGATGACAAATATGTAATTTTACCATCAATTTGGAAATTGGCTTTAGCAAACATATTATAACAAGAGGCCCAAAAGGTTCGAAAATGGTTGTGTAACTACGTACAAGCATATACCCGGTAAGCAAACGATAATGACTTTTGACAAGAGAACCATTTATTTGTTACTCTGTATTTTTTTCAACTTCCAGAGAATCGAACCCAGGACACCTGTCGGTCTTATGACAGGTGCACCAATACACTACCCAAAGCACTACAAATGGTAGCTAAAGGTTATTGTGCACTAGCTTTAAAACAAATTTTTCTAAATTTTCAGCATATGTGTGTATTAAGGAATTTTTTTTTTGGCAATGTATCAATGTCCTTTCCTACTTAAATGAAATATTCTGTTTGTTTGTTTTTTATCAATAATTATTTTATGTTTCAGTGCAAGGATATACCAAATAACAGAACATTTATATTTGTGCAGTAACTGTTTTATGTATGATATATACATTGTAAAAAAAAAAATTTCCAAAATTTTTTTCCGAGTCAATCCCCAGAGGACGATATTTTAATTCAAACAATCGAGAAGAGAAAAACGACTTTTAAAAATCGGAATATTGAAGCAAAGTAGTTAGGTACCTGAATACTTGAGCCGTACGTGGTTCGAAAATGGTTATGTACTAGGCCTATGTACAAACATGTAAGCAAACGATAATGACGTTCGACAAGAGAACCATTTATTTGTTACTCTGTATTTCTTCAACTTACAGAGACAAAAAACGACCCGATTGTCGAAGTCTTTTAGTTATCTTGTATTCGAGACAATGAATCTTCCATGCCATCTTTGTTGTACTTTCGGTTTAACGAATCATCTAAATTTAAACTCTCCTTCGATCATGCATCCCGGAAAATAACTGAACATCGTATATTTATGCCTTTTATTTGGAAATTAATGTACCTTTTTTTTTTTACGGTAAGTGAAATCGACATCAGGCATTTTTGATGGAATAAGCGTCGGGCGCGTTTGACGTAATAACGTCACAAACGAGAATAACGTCACATAACGTTATTTTACGTGGTATGGATCTTTACCTTAAAATACCCATTTTGGGTCCTGGAGTTTGTGATGATAACATGTATGTAATGCAATTCTTTTTCAATTAATAATAGTCGACAGTTCATTCCTCTTTGGCACCTTGTCCCGCCTCTTCATCTTGAATTCCGTTCGTTATCTCAATATGTTTCATTTGGATAATCATGCATTTGAATTCGATAACGTCCATTCTGATACTGTATCTCGAACTTTATTTGGAAGTGTAATGGAAGTCCTAAGAATTTTTTTATGTGTATTTTTATTTCTACATCTCAAATCATCAGAAATTTCGAAATTAAAGTTTGAAATAACAAGGTTTTTTCTTGGATATAATCAGGGACAAGAGAGGAAAAGTTACACGACACCGTAAAAGATAACAAGCCGTGGTATGACAAACTGGAGACAGCGATGAGAAAGATATTCTTGTAAGTGAAATAATTGAATTTCAATTTTATACAATTTATCATTGAGTCAAATGCTGACTGTTTTTCATACTAATTGTTAGGCCATTATTCACATACTGAATTGACGACGGATTTTCCGTTGTTTTTCGATCATGGCGAAGAGCACATGACCTTCGTAACCGGTCGGCAGGGCATGCTCACTCCTCCATGGCACCTGATTCCACCTCTAACCGTAATTGCTCTGCTGCTTAATCGTATATTGTTTTATGGACTATTGAGGGCTTGAATACTGTTTGTTATTTTCATGTAATTTATCCTATTGTATGTTATACATTATTTTTCCTCATTAAGTTGTTTTGGAAAGAAAGAGCCTACACCTCCAACAACTGAACCGGAAGCGGATGTACCTCAAAGTGATCCTCATGATCAAAACGAGGCTTTGTTTCCTGGAGACCTTTCTAAGACTGTAGGCCCTGGGTTTAATTATAGAGGTAATGGTCGTTCCGGGTTCTCATGTAATAAGCTTACACTATAAAATGCATACAACTACAAGAAATTTTTATGTTCCCCAAACGGAGTTTGGGAACATATTGTTTTTACTCGGTTTCTTATTATTATTATTATTATTATTATTCTTTTTTTTCTTCTTTGTTCTCCGGTACTTTTTTGTCCGCGAGTGTTCTCAGAAACTGTTCACCCAACTAAGCTAAAACCTTTTTAGGGTTAATAGGTGTGTAGTGTAGGTGTGCGGAACGAAGGTCATTTTGCGCGCATACGCATGCACGTGCGTGCGCGTGAAATGAGTGAAATGACCGATATACTTAATATCGCTATAACTTTTACATTTTTTAATTAAATGATTTGAAACTCATTATATAAAGATATATTAATAGTGTAGATAATATGACACTGTCAAATTAGCACGAACTCACGCGCATGCACGTGCACTTCGCTCTGATTGGCTGAAACAAAAATCTCAATATCTTTTCTGTTTTTTGACGAAATAATATGAAATTTAAAATATAGGCATACTTTAGGATGTTCTACAATATTATGTATAAGAATTGTCATGAAAACACACGCATGCACGTGCGCTGCAATCTGATTGGTTTAAACTTGAAATGGCTATAACTCCCTTATTTTTCAACCAAACAGGATGGGATTTAGAACATAGACAGATATAATAGACTCCTACAAGAAGGTATGGTCATCATGCACGTACGTGCATGTGCGCTTCGTTCTGATTGGCTGAAACAAAAATCTCAATATCTTTTTTGTTTTTTGACGAAATGCTATGAAATCTAAAATATATACATACTTTAGGATGTACTACAATATGATATATAACAATTGTCGTGAAAACACGCGCATGCACGTGTGCTGCAATCTTATTGGCTAAAACTGTAAATGGCTATAACTCCCTTGTTTTTCAACCAAACAGGATGGGATTTAGAACATAGACAGACATAATAGACTCCTACAAGAAGGTATAGTCCTCATGCACGTGCATGCACGTGCGTGCATGTGAAATGAGTAATATTGAAATACGCTTAAATGAGTGTATTTCCTAATACTTCTGGATTATTTGATTTGTTATTAAGTATATTAAGATATATATATAGTGTAGACAAGATGATGTGGTCATTACGCACATGCATTCAGATGAGCACGCGTGCAATGCTAAAATTTAAATACATTTTGTATTCTTCTGGGAAAACGTTGTTTAAGTCTAAATTGCATAAAGTGTGTCTTACTTAATAGCGCTTACAGGGAATACGGCACCCAAATGGAGTTGGGGAGCGTTTGGGGAACATCTGTAACGGTCCCCGTTACAATTAGCCCTAGTTTAAATTGGTTTACTCATTTGCCTTTCGCAAATGCATCTTGTTGATTCTTTTTAACTTGGAATTTGGTATTTTTATTTACTTTTGGTTGGCTTTCATTTTTTTTCTTTAATAGTAATAATTATGCATTCCCTCCATTAGAAAGAACCCTTTCAACGTCATTATGATGAATTGAATCAATATTTGTGCAGACATTCTTCTTCGAAGTGTTATACCAAGTTGTATAAATTTGTAGACAGTCCTCTACATTCGTCACTTCGCTACGATCGTCGAAGGGATGCAGCGAAGAGAGGAAGATCTGATTACCTTGAAAGCATGCTGGAGACAGGTGTTCAAACCATAACACATTTATTTCATTTTATTATTGAACATCTTTATTTTCTATAGAAGTTGGAGTGTTTGTAAAATATCGAAAGAAGTGTTTAATTTTAAGCCATATTTTTGAATTGTCTAATGACACAATTTATGAAAAAAAGGAAAATGAACTTACGTGAAAAATATGTCATTTATAATTAATATGCAGATCAAAATAGTTTAGATTGAAATAAATTAACTGTTAATCGGTCGGAACGTCTTGCGGTGAACCGATTAGCAATTGTGTATTCGATTGCCATCCCTACTACATTGTAACTAAATTTCAATCATAATTTTGGTTACTATTTTTCTTACCTGTTTTCTTCTAATTGCTATCAAATTTGTGTCATCTGTTTTTTTTTGTATCTGTTTCAATATAATATTTTATTTAACGTTTTCAAAAAAGAAAATGTAGAACGAGAAGAGGAATTTAATGAAAATAACCCTCTTGATGTTCGAACGTGGCTTCCATTCGGCATGAAGGTAAAAAGCATATCAGGTATTATTTGCTTTTCCAATTATTTTTTCCAAAAAAAAATTTAATCTTTGTAAATGCTAATTTTAAAATTTGTGTCTTTTGAGCTTTGGCTTTAATTCAATTTTACACATTTTACATTGAGACATATCAATGATTTATCAACGTTGGATTTTCTAGTAAAACTGATAATTTATTTCTTTGATTAAAAAAATAAACGATTTACTGAAACAAGCTTCAGATAACGTTGTTTTCAAGAACATCAAGCTTGCTTTACTTAAAATATTTAAACCCCAAAAAGCATTTTTTCATTATGCATTCTGGAAAAAAAAAAAATTAAAATTTAGCATTGAAAAAATCACCTAAAATCCGACAAAATTGTTCCAACACACGTCATCATTTTGAAAGTTGGCCTTAATTTGAGATAATTCATGTGAATTTAAAAGTATTAATTTTTCCTTTAAATTAATTGTTTTCCTATTTTAACAATGGAATTCCTCTTTCTTCCCAAAATCAGAGCTGTTTGTGATAATTTTTTTTACGTTCATTTATGATTATTCATTATGAAAGCCCTAAAACATTTCATTCATATGGTACAAAAACATTTTTAGGGTTCTTCTTCAATTTGAAAATGTATACAAACATCCTTAAAAAACCCTAAATGATAGAACTGATGGTTGTTTTGTCTGAAAATTGAGATTCTTTACTTTTGATTCTCCACTTCTTATCTAGCATTATACAAAACGAAAAAGCTTTGGTATAAGAATGATTAATCACCTTTCAAAAAGAATAGGTTTGTTTTCCCTGCTCAGGATTGTAACTCTTTTTTCTAATTTATGAAATTAATCTCGATTCGTAATAGTCAACCTTTTACTGAAGCTGAATTCATTTGTTTTTCCTTTGATCAGGGGTATGCTCGTAACTTTGTCGAAAATGGATATGAAAATACGAACTTCCTTGGAATGCTGACAGAAAACGACCTTAAGCAAATAGGGATCAAGAAAGTTGCTCACCGAAGAAAATTGTTCCGGTTAATCCAAGATATTCCAGAGTTTAAAATCCCTATTGGTGTTCCGGTTTGTTCTTGTATATTTTTTATATATCAGTACATGTAATACAAATCTTGTGAATATGAAAAAAGCTGGCATGCTAGATTAAGGACATACGCAACGTACATGTACACAAACTTTATTTTGTACCTTTCCCACGATAATTGTGTTAGATATTCTCAATTTTCAATCAGGGAAAAACAAGATGTTTTCACAACAAAAAAAAAAATAGCATAAGTTATCAGTTTTAACCAATTAAAACTTGATGAAAACACTAGTATATTTAAAGAAGAAAAAATATATAGTTTTGTTAGTATTTCCCCAAAGTTTGATCTGGAGGAGGTGAACAGTATTACCAGGTTTAATATTAAAGGAGAAAAAATATTCAAAAAAACTACGTTGTGTATGTTCTTAATAACAAGCAATTTCAGTATGATTTTTATTACATAAGATAAAAACATAACATTTTTTCAGAACGATGTGCATTCTTGGCTAAGCGGGATTGGTTTACTTGAATATAAACAGAACTTCAATAGAAACCAAATCAAAACAGTTCAAGATATGGAAGTGTTGAAGACAATCACAAAGAAAGAAATAAAGGAGGATCTCAGAATTACCAAATCAGGTAGAGTTATATATAGAGGCATACCCAACAAACTAGACAGTGGTCCCTTAATCATACATTTACGGAATGGAATTTTTCTATCATTAAATGTTTTAAAATGCTTTATTTATTTGATATTAATCAAGGTCATATACAGCGTCTTCTTGATGCCATTGCATGCCTTCGACAGCCAGCTAAAGGTTAAAACATATTATTATAAAAATCTTGCCTTTAATTTCTGAGTTATCATAATTGTATCTAAATAAAAAAATGTATATTTTAAGATGTAAAAATTCTCTTTCTCTTTGAATAATAAAATATTATTTTTACATCTTAAAATATACAACGGTACTCTTCTTCATTATTTCAGAGGAGCAGATCATTACAGAAATTAAGAAGCAGATTGGTAAGGTCCACAATCTGAAGGATTTGGGAAGCGTGAATCGGCAAGAGAACAAGTTCTGGGTCGATCTCATTAAGACTTGTTTAGCGCCCTCGGCAGATGTATTCAGTTTGGAGCAAACTCTAAAAAGTAAATAGAATAGGGAGAGAAAAAAAAGCATTAAACAAATTATTTTGTTAAAATAAAGATATGGTAATATTCTTTAAGAATTCAAGATACAATATCACAGTCTTAAGAATACCAACAATGAGAAAGAGTAAACTTTTCTTCAAAAGCACAGTGCTGCTGTTTTTTCATGGCCTCTACATGTTTTTTTTTGTAATTAAATGAAATTGATTTGAAATGTGCGTCTTTAAATGTCCTTTTTTTGGGACGTTAGGTTCACGGCATCATTTTTATCTCTATAAAATATACAAAAATAGTTAATAACAGACACACACACGCATGCGCACAGTGATGATGCTATATCTGTATTTATGAGATAGATTGATATCTGTTCGTTGTCTTCACATTTTATACCTGTACTTGTACATACAAAGGTTATATTTTTAAGTCCTGCAATTACGGAATAAGAAAGTAATTAGACCTCTGGTATTTGTAGAAAATTTAAGGACGTTACGTAACGAATGGTTGATGGTATCGGGAATAGTCAACTGTTTGTGGATAGTGATTATAATGACGTTATCCAGCAGTTTCGACTTAAATGTGGCTGGGACTAACATACTCAGTAAGTAAACAGGTTAAGCCCATGTTCTGTTAGTGTCGGCCTGTAAGTGGCCAGGGCAACTCCATCCACTAAGTTAATAAAAGGTCCACAAGTAACAAATGTCCTATACAATTTCATCCAGTGAGTGAATAAGGCCATACGTATAAAAAAAATCCGATGCAACTCGGGTAACTTTATCCAGTAAGTAAATATACATGTATATAAGTCCAAAAGTTAGAGGTTTCGAGGACAATTCCATCCTGTAATTAAATAAGTCCATAAGTTACAGGTGTCCTAGACAATTCCATCCAGCAAGTATATACACAGTAAGTAAAAACAATCGTTTCGTGGGAACAAAGATACTAGTAGTCCATAGGTATCGATATGAAAGCACATGTCTCTGAAAATTAGTTGTAGCTGATATACAGGGGTTACGGAAAATTATAAAAAGGAATGCGTTATTATGATAAATTTTCTGTGTTTTTAAATAAAACAAATAGGTGCACGAACTATTAAGTAACTTTGTTTAATTTTTCTTCATTGTAGGTTTACTGTTCCTAATTGTATTTGGATTTCTGTTTGTTCTTCAATTTCTCTGCATGTTGTTACACAGATTTACAACACTCTCTCACTTTATTGCGCGTGCGCCATATCGATTTGGCCAGAATTACCGAACATCTGTTGCTTTTCTGTCCCGTGATCTGGAACCGGATGCGGGCCAGAAGCCGAGTCTTGATCACCACAACCAGGCTTCTGAGAACACCTCCTTGTTATCAGATCATGGTAATGATGTGTATCAAGGACGTCTTCATGCTCGGACGTATCAATCAGTGTGAATGATGATTTGAATAATTTCTAATCAAAAAATTTGTTCAACCTGTGCATGATGACTTCATGAATTTAACTTTATGGTCCTCATACATGTATAATAATTAACATGTTATTTTAGGCATGACACATAAAAGCGTTTATTTGAAGAATGACTGTCTAGTTAGTATAGTATACCATAGCATCATCGGTAGTGGGAAACATGGTATAATTTTCAAAACGGGTGAATCCCGTTTTGTATAAATTATCCCAAGTATCCCACTATCGTTGATATCCTGGACATACTATACTAACTAGACAGCGATTCCTTATATTTCCATTTTATTGTGATATAAAATTGTAGATTTAGATTTTTAAAATGTAGACATAGATTTAAATTACTCGGGACTCTAATGCCAATTTTAATAGTCCTCGCCCATTGACTTTAAACACAAAGGCAGCTGCACGAGATTTACATGGATATTTGGCCTTCTTAGCGTCAGACACAGAGACAGATGTGCACGAGATTTGCATGCATACTACGCCTCCTTAGCTCCTGCTCTATCGACATTTTTGAAGTAATTGGGAGTAATTATATGAAAAGAGACGACATTTGTATGCTAAATAAATAATACATGTATATACTTAAAAAATTATTAGCACTGCGATGCAAATGAATGAAGGACAGTAAATTCCTAAATATACACAAGGAATTAATTATCGCATAATTTCGTGAGAAGCACTACTTGTGAAGTAATATTATTCGCTTTTATATTTATTGTGCTGAAATTTATGTAATCTGAAGGTAACCTTCAATCTTTAGTAAGGAATGAATACATCTTCAATTGATAATCAACCTTTTTGTGTCCTT